TTAGTTATCGCTTTTATTTACATATTTTGATACATAAAGACACTGAGAAGAACTCGAGTATTACATTTCAATGTATATACAAATAATTTACAAATGGGTCACCTTTATACAAAATGTACACCAACTTTCCTAGCATGTACACTACACACATATCCCTTAGAACATCAATAGAGGGTCAAAAAAAAAACCTATTGACTTGGTGGGAAGTTATTCAAGCTGTGATTAAAAAGGGGATCCTTAATATCACTCGGTGCATTATAACTGCGAGATATACTCAACATCATAGTTTAAGGATATAATGCCACACAATCACGAAACAGCCGTATATGATAGTTTTGAATAATGAATCCGAAAAGGTTTTTAATTTTTTTTTTTTCTTTTGTCTTCCAAGAGACGAGAGACATTTGAAGGCAAACACTATGTAGAAAATTTATTCTTTACTGTGAGTCATTTGATTGGTTAATGGAATAGATATTGGTAAATAGGTAATTCATTGAACTTTATGCTAAAAATCGTGATGTTGTAAAAAAAAGGAAATGGAAGGAGGAACGAAAGATAAAAAAAAACAAAAAAACTGGCACATAGATGAAACAGAGAGAATGCGATGGTTTTTACTTATCCTCATTCGAGGAGTGTTTATTGAATAATAATATCACGAATGAAAATATGTACAATCATAGTTTATATCATCTCAGATTCTGAGACTCGGTGACGGCTCCACCAACGCGCCGTTTATTAGCCTGAGACTTTTTGCGGCGCCGTTGGTGTCCGTTTCAGCATCCCTCTGACGTCATCATCTCGGAAGGTCAATCTTAAGACGAACTGGAGGAAGCAACGATTGGCAAGACGGGCAGCCTCACGAGCGACGTCAGGGGGGCGCCTCACGAGCACGTGGGCGAGACGACCGGCGTGCTGCTGTACGAGTCCTCGGGGCCGGTGGGCGTGGGCTTGCTCTTCTCAGCCCACGGCTTGATGTTCTCGAGGGCGCAGAGGGAGGCGTTCGAGTTGTACAAGGGCGTCGTGGGCGGGTCGGTGAGCAGCCCCTTGGACAGAGCCTCCGCCTGAAGAGACATCATGAGCCGGTTGGTCGCCTGTCGCTCGGCCTCGCGCTCCTCCGCTGCCTGCCGTCTGGGGGGAGGGGGGCAAAGAAAACGGAGATTAGCGGGATACGGGCCTATTGACATACATCCATATGTTTATTTCCAACACCCAAAATATATTCAAACCGATAAGTAAAAGGAAAATACGCATATCCCCAATACCAAACTAGAGATTAAAAGAAAAAAGAAAAGAACGCGATGATAATTCCCAATACCGAAATTAAAACCCCAAAAAACAAAAAACAAACCAAAAATTCTTCCCCAAACCCCCCCCCCCAAAAAAAAAAAACGAAAAAAAAAAACACGACACCCCAATCTTCCTCCCCAAGATCACAAACCAACCCTTCCCCCCCCAAAAAAAAAAAAAAAACAACAAACAAACCCGCCTCGATCCCTTACCTCCACTTCGTTCTCCTGTTCTGGAACCACGTCTTCACCTGCGCATCTGTCATGTTGAGCTGCTTGGCCAGTTGCGCGCGCTCGCTGGACGCCAAGTACTTCTGCTTGTTGAACCGCTTCTCCAGCTCGTTCACCTAGACGAGAGAGGCGGAAGGGAAATGGTAAATGTCATGTTGGGAAGGAATTGATTATTTTCTCTCTGTCTTTGCTGGGGAATACTGAATCGTGTGAGCTCAAGATTTGTTTTGCTTTGTAAGGGTAAAAGGGAAAGTGATGATGGTGATAAATAATAATGATAATAATAATAATAATAATGATAATGATAATAATAATAATGATAATAATAATAATAATGATAATAATAATAATAATAATAATAATAATAGTAGTAGTGATTAATAATGATAATGATTATAATATGATGATAAATAATAATAATGATAATAATAATAATAATTGATAATGATAATTATAATGACGATGACAAAATTTATGATAACAGTAATAACATTAATACAATCGATAACAATGAAAATCATTCGAAACAGAAATAATAATAACAGTAATATTAATCATAACTGTTACCATTATCACCATTCTTATATTGTTACTATTACTATTACTATCATCACCATCATCACCATCGACCTGACGGGGGACTTCACTCACCTGAACGCGGGTGAAGGAGGTGCGAGGCTTCTTCCTCTTCGGGGGCGTCCTGCTCTGGTAGGGGTGGCCGACGCGGCGGGTGAGAGGGAAGGGCCCTGGCAGAAGAAGAAGAAATTCTTGTTAATACGTGTGTTATGGGTCGGATTTTATATATTTATTTGTGCTTTTTTTTCTTTCTTTTTTGGTGTGAGATGATTGAATGTATATGTAGGTGGGAGAATTTGTTATATACAGAAAAAAAACTTTGTTGTTATTCTAGTATACTGAATAGGGTATTGGATATAGTTGAAGTGGAGTTAATCTTCGAATTATCTGTCTATTATTAATATTTCTGAGAATTATAGAAGCCTCGTTTCTGTCCTCGATGTAGTAGAGCGTAAAAATTGAGCCAATATAAAGCAGGGGATGACACGGATCGGGAAGCCCATAAACGGATGCATTTCGATTGCAACAGTGACTCACACCCACGCCGTGTCCAGGGGCGTGATCTCAATAAAGGACCGCGGGGAGGGCGTACATGACCGGGTGGATGTGGCTTGTGTCTAGACTGCATGAAGTTAATAAAAATATTTAGATGAAGTTTTCACTCAGCGGTTCTTAAAGCGATTCCATGACTTGAGTTTGCGGTTCTTACAAGTGTTGATGAAATATACATAAAGTGTAAACAGAGGAGTTTTTCTGTGTATGCGTGCATTTGTATATATACGTTAACCTCAGACGTTTGTGATGTAAACGAATATATATGTTTGTATGTTGCGTCATCAAGCTTTCGAAGAATCAGGAAGCTTTGTAAGCCTACGGTAAACACAGAGGGATAACTATTAATAGCATAATCTACACAGTTAAATCCCCGCGGGACACAAATCATCACCATCACCATCATCACCATTACCATCATCACCATCACCCTCATCACCATCACCATCATCACCATCACCATCATCACCATCACCATCATCACCATCACCATCATCACCATCACCATCATCACCATCACCATCATCACCATCACCATCATCACCATCACCATCATCACCATCACCATCATCACCATCACCATCATCACCATCACCATCATCACCATCACCATCATCACCATCACCATCATCACCATCACCATCATCACCATCACCATCATCACCATCACCATCATCACCATCACCATCATCACCATCACCATCATCACCATCACCATCATCACCATCACCATCATCACCATCACCATCATCACCATCACCATCATCACCATCACCATCATCACCATCACCATCATCACCATCACCATCATCACCATCACCATCATCACCATCACCATCATCACCATCACCATCATCACCATCACCATCATCACCATCACCATCATCACCATCACCATCATCACCATCACCATCATCACCATCACCATCATCACCATCACCATCATCACCATCACCATCATCACCATCACCATCATCACCATCACCATCATCACCATCACCATCATCACCATCACCATCATCACCATCACCATCATCACCATCACCATCATCACCATCACCATCATCACCATCACCATCATCACCATCACCATCATCACCATCACCATCATCACCATCACCATCATCACCATCACCATCATCACCATCACCATCAGGGTAAATGAGGTGCGAGGGTCTTCCTCTTCGGGGGGCGTCCCTGCTCTGGTAGGGGTGGCCGACAGCGGCGGGTGAGAGGGAAGGGCCCTGGCAGAAGAAGAAAGAAGAACTTCTTGTTAATACGGGTGTTATGGGTCGGATTTATATATTTATTTGTGCTTTTTTTTTTTCTTTCTTTTGGTGTTGAGATGATGAAGTATAGTAGGTGGGAGAATTTGTTATATACAGAAAAAAAAAACTTTGTTGTTATTCTAGTATACTGAATAGGGTATTGGATATAGTTGAAGTGAGAAGTTAATCTTCGAATTATCTGTCTATTATTAATATTTCTGAGAATTATAGAAGCCTCGTTTCTGTCCTCGATGTAGTAGAGCGTAAAAAATTGAGCCAATATAAAGCAGGGGATGGACACGGATCGGGAAGCCCATAAACGGAGCATTTCGATTGCAACAGTGACTCACACCCACGCCGTGTCCAGGGGCGTGATCTCAATAAAGGACCGCGGGGAGGGCGTACATGACCGGGTGGATGTGGCTTGTGTCTAGACTGCATGAAGTTAATAAAAATATTTAGATGAAGTTTTCACTCAGCGGTTCTTAAAGCGATTCCATGACTTGAGTTTGCGGTTCTTACAAGTGTTGATGAAATATACATAAAGTGTAAACAGAGGGAGTTTTTCTGTGTATGCGTGCATTTGTATATATACGTTAACCTCAGACGTTTGTGATGTAAACGAATATATATGTTTGTATGTTGCGTCATCAAGCTTTCGAAGAATCAGGAAGCTTTGTAAGCCTACGGTAAACACAGAGGGATAACTATTAATAGCATAATCTACACAGTTAAATCCCCGCGGGACACAAAGTAAATAATATCAAACAAAAAAAATATAAAAAAAACAAACGCCGCTTTAAACAACCGATGAGAAAACGAGAACGCAAAGGCCTCAAAGTAAAACAGCTTTACCAAGTCGTTCCGTATCCGGCGCGACGCTCGGCTCTTTGCCTTGCCGTGAGAACTCGCCGGCTGCGGAGTTCGGCGGCCGACAGCGGACGGAATCAGACCCGAAATCTAACTTACGACTTACGGGCTGCGGACACACACGCCCTCGACCGACTGACAGACTGCTGGGATTCGATGGGCGGCGCCGGAGGGAGGCCGACAGGCCGAGGGTCCAGCGAGGAATCAAGACGCGGCTTAGCCTCCGCCGCACGGCGCGGACGGAAATTTATATGCAAAGACATGGGCGCATAAACACGAATATTGCCTGTTAACATGTGTGAAATGTGTGCGTATGAACGGGGGTATAATTATTTGCAAACGTATATCAACATCAGCGCGAATATTATAACTTAGCATGCAAGCATTTATATACATATATATATATATATATATATATATATATATATATATATATATATATATATATATATATATATATATATCTATATATATATATATATTATATATAATATATATATATATTATATATATATATATATATGTATATATATATATATATATATATATTATATTATATATTGTGTGTGTGTGTGTGTGTGTATTTGTGTGTATACATATATACATATACACATACATACATATATATACATATATACACATACATACATACATATATATATACACATACCCCCACAATATATGTATATGAATATAATTGTAGATTATATATATATATTATCTATATATATATTATATATATATATATATAATATATATATATATTATATACTACCTACTATATATACATAACATATATATACATTATACATTATATCATATATATTATATTATATATCTATATATATATATATATATGCACACCCACATATATATATATATATATAATATATATAGATATATATATATATATATATATATATATATATATATATATATATATATATATATATATATATATATATATACATATACATATATATATATATATATATATATATATATATATATATATATATATATATATATATATATACATATTTGTGTGTGTGTGTATGTGTTTGTGTGTGTGATGTAAATAATCTACATTCATCCATAAATAAGCATACTGTAAACTGAATCTGTCCTCGCTCTAAACGTGCAATCTGATCGAACCCCGAGACAGTTTTCCAAGACGAGGGCTTCTCTCAAGGAAGACCTCACCGCCGCCACGAGTCGCGCTCCGGCGTCCGGTCGAGGGCGACAAACGAGCTCGGACGCCAAGAAAGGAGCGCGCTCATAAGGGCCATTATCGCCTGCCCGAGGAGAGACGCAGAGCCCCGCCTCTTTGTCAACTTAAGGAAGCAGCAAGGCCGCGGGATGAGCGCCTGGCAAAGATAGCTGACGGACAACAAATATATATTTTCCTTTCTTCAGAGAGAAAGACGTGATTCAGCCTATATATAAACCGTTTGCCATTTTGTTGTTCGCGGGAGAACACGAACGTGGGCGTCGCTTCGTCTCCTCGATCATCACGCAATGCACAGCTGGAGCGCCGGTGCTGTTTACCATCGTGCTTTTAGGCTGATTAGCTGCGTAGAGGGGGGAGAAGGGGTAGGGAAGGGAGGGAGGGTGTGTGTGTAGGGGGGTGGGGGGGGACATGATCCTGGCTCTTTATTCCGACTTTTGTGGGATTGCGTTCTGACTTCGGGGAAAAGAAAAGGAGGGAAAGATAGACGAATTAATATTAACATCATTGCACATTTGGCATAACGTTTGATTCTTCGTCTGAGGGTGCCGACTATGTTTATCCTTCACTTAAATATCTGTAGTTTTTTTTCTTTTTTTTCTCTCTCTCTCTGAAGTCTTTAACCCCAGTGTTCATCTCCTCCAGTAAGCGACGAGAAACAAGGCAATAAACAAAGCAGAACCGTGTGTTGGAGCCGCCTGGTAGACCACTGCGTTATGGTCGCAATGCCTCGCTACCACACACCTTTTCCACGTAAGTCCATAAGACCAAACTATCATTATGAACTTCTCATATAATCGCCAGCAATTTAAGCTTATCAGACGCATCTCATCGTCTCCCTTCCTTTCCTTCCCGTTCTTCTGTAGACGTATTCGGTGTATAAACACGAATGCATGCGCGATAAAATTTAAAATGAAGGAGCGGCGAGTTGTTCCGCGTGGCGACACCCGGCAACGCGACCAAGGAGTGCAGACCCCATATTTTAGTAAGCCGGAGTTGCCAGTCACGAACAAGTTTCCCACACGTTTTCGTCATGTCTCACATGTCCTTTTCTTTCTCTCCGTTTCATGTTCCGCATTATAGGTGATTTCCGTGTGTACCTACAGTCGTTCGGGACGCAGGGTAATCGCCCACGAGCGGATTATCCAACTCGTTGCGACTGGATAAATCCGAAACAAAGTGCGCGTTGGCGTCTCTGCGGGAGATCGAAAAACAGCGACAAATGGGCTATTAGAGGTTTGATTTCCTGTGA